GGTAAGCCACGTTTCTGAGCATGGGACCGGAAGTCGGGCTGGAACTTGTCACCACACGGCCAGCAGCTGGGTCTCAGGGACCTGAATCTAGGCCCTAGGGCCCAAGGTGGCTGGGAAGGAGGGAACCTCAGGTGCAGGCCAAATCCAGCGCCCGCCAGCCTGAGTTTGTCCAGCTGCCCCGGGCTCTTCATTAAAAAGCTGGGTATACCGCTACCACCCCTGGGGGTTGAGGCTGGCAGGGGTGTCACTGAGGCTCAGGGGAGCCCGAGCCCGCCAGCTGGCTGTGGCCAGGACGAGGAAGCCCAGGAGGGGAAGCCGGACTCTGGCCTAGGAAGAGCCATGCCTCTGCAGACACACCTTTGCTTCCATTTGGCCCTGTTTAATCTCTTGTCGTTAGCCGGGCCCTTTGTGTTTGGGGAACAGCCGGAGAGATCTGATAACACCAGCCACCTGCAGTCCTCGGGTGTGTGCTGTGTTCTGGTTTGTCACGGGGGGGCCCCCTAACCTCCTGCGCACTGAGGCATGGCCAGGGGAAGAGGGCTCCTTGGCAGTGTGGACCCTGAAGGTCTTGGGAAGGCGTCTCAGAAGTTGATCTTGACCTTCAGGGAGGGGAGGGCCCCCCATTGGAACCACAGGGGAAGCCTTTTGAGAATTGGATTCAGAGATCTCGGCTTCAGCATCTGCTCCAGTTCATTGGAGGCAGGAGGGGGTCCAGGGTTGACAGCTCTCGAGGGCCGCCACATTGGTGGGGGAGCCTGGGGGCGTAGCGAGTTTCCCAATGGACTGCTCCCCGGGAGGTCTGCAGTTGGAACCCACTGGCCGGTCCTCCGGGAGCAAGTCCTGCCTTTTCTCCTCCTGTAAAGATGCTCAGCCCCCGGAGCCCTGATGCAGGGACAGTGCTGGCCTGTCCTGAACTGTCGCTGTGAGTCTGGTCTGACCACGTTAGTGAGTCTGTGGTTTTTTTTGTTTTTGTTTTTGTTTTTGTTTTGAGTTTGTGTTTTTGATCGTTCAATAACTAACTGGTTGGCCCTCTAGATCAGGGGTCCTCCGCCATCCTCACGCCAAGACCCTTTCATACAGGTTCTCATGCTGTGGTGACCCCCAACCATACAATTATTTTCATTGCTACTTCATCACTGTCATTTTGCTACTGTAATGAATCGTCATGCAAGTATCTGATAATGCAGGATGTGTTTTGCATGGTTACAAATTGTACATCATTAAAGCACAGTGATGAATCACAAAACAACATGTAATCAGATACTGTGAAATATTTATGTGTTTTTCCGGCAGTCTTAGGCGACCCCTGTGAAAGGGTCGTTTGACACCCCCCAAGGGGTCGCGACCCACAGGTTGAGAACCGTGGCGGCCGTAGAGTGGTTCATGGATTGCTCTAGGTTAAAACTCTAAGCTCAGTGACATCGAGTCCATGCTGACTCATAGCAACCGTACAGGACAGGGTAGAACTGCCCCTGTAAGTTTCCAAGACTGTAGCTCTTTTCTTTATAATTCATTTTATTGGGGGCTCTTATCACAATCCCTATATCCATCGTGTCAAGCACATTTGTACATATGTTGCCATCATCATGTTCAAAACATTTTCTTTCTACTTGAGCCCTTGGGATCAGCTCATTTTTTCCCTCCCTCCCTCCCCCATGTCCCCTTGATAATTTATAAATTATTATTATTATTTCATTGCTAACACTGAGCGATGTCTCCCTTCACCCACTCTTCTGTTGTCCATCCCCCTGGGAAGGGGTTATATGTAGATCATTGTGATCAGTTCCCCTTCTGTCCCCCCACTTTCCCTTTACCCTCCTGGTATCTCTATTGTCATTATTGGTCCTGAGGGGTTTATCTGTCCTGGATGCCCTGTGTCGCAAGCTTTTATCTGTACCCGGGTACATGCTCTGGTCTAGCTGGATTTGTCAGGTAGAATTGAGGTCAAGATGGTGGGAGCTGGGGGAGGAAGCATTAAAGAACTGGAGGAAAGTTGTGTGTTTCATCGGTGCTATACTGCACCCTGACTGGCTCATCTCTTCCTTGTGACCCTCTGTAAGGGGATGTCCAATTGTCTACAGATGGACTTTGGGTCTCCACTCCGCCTTCCCCCTCATTCATAACTCTTGATGGGAGTAAAAAGCCCGTCTGTCTCTGGCCGAGCTGCTGGGTGGTTTGAACAGCCAACCTTGCAGTTCACAACCCAATCTGTAACCGCTGTGCCACCGGGCCTCCAGGTGCAAGAAAGGTCCGGTGAATGATTTCTGAGCAAAACCCACCATTGACTACCCTTCAGGGTCCAGTTCTGCCCTGAAACTCTAGGGGGCGCCATGGATTGGTGTTGGCGCCATGGCAACGGGTGAAGGCTTGCGGGCAGGTACCTGGCCTTCCTCCCCAGCCCTCAGAGCAGAGCATTCTGGGGGCGGTGATCCCTAGACGGACTACCTGCCAGTCCCTCTCCACAGGCGACAGTTCAGAAGAGGATCTTGTTCTTCGTGGGGCTCTGGTGACCCCTGTGGGTCCCAAACCCAAAGGTCAGGTGGGAACCCACCAGCTGCTCCTCAGGAGAGAGATGAGGCTGTGGCTTCCGGAAAGATGGCTGCCTTGGAAACCTTAGGGGGCAGTCTGAATTCCGTCCCACAGGGGTCCCCATGGGTTGGATCCTGAACAACCCCCCTGAAGAGAGTTGAGCCTCCTGCCCTGCTCCCCATCCACCCTGACATAGCCAGAACGGCACCCTCTTGTTGTTTGGGGGGACTAACTATCACGTGGATATTCAATGCTCATAGAAGCAGCACTCTAGAGATCAGACAGTGAGTTGCCCTGGGCACATCTGCCGCCTGAGACCTCTTTGGAGTGTTGAGCAAAGGTGTCACTTCAAGGACGAAGGTGGCCTGCCCCAAGCCAGTCTTTTGGTTCACCTCCTCTGTGTGTGAGAGGTGGACAGCGGGTAAGGGAGACTGAAGAAGAATCGTGTCTTTGAATGACTATTGACAGGACCACGGGCCACTGGAAGCACGCACCAACCTGTGTGGGGAGGTTGTGGCCAGCACGCTCCTTCGAGGCAAGGATGGCGAGGCTTCGACTCATGTGCTTTGGACATGTTGTCCGGAGAGACCGTTCCCTGGAGAAGAGGGATGGCCGACAAAGAGGAATGCTTTTGACCAGATGGGTGGACACAGCGGCTACAGCAGCGGGCTGAAACTGAACTATGATTGTGAGGCTGGCGCGGGACTGAGCCGTGCTGTTGGACACAGTGTATCGGAGTTGGAACGCCTTGATGGTGGCTGAGGACACTGCATGTGCGTGTGTGTGTGTGTGTGTGTGTGTGTGTGTGTGTGTGTGTGTGTGTCTTCAGCGGAGTCCTGGTGACTGGCGGGTTAAATAGGATGGTGACACAGCGTCTTACACACTATGGACCTGTCTTCAGGAGAGACCAGTCCCTGGAGCTGGATGTCATGCTGGGTAAAGTGGACCGGCACAGTGGACACACAGTGCACTCCAGCGGAATGACAGTTGTAAGGATGACACAGGCCCCCACGTGTTGTATACGGGGTGCCATGAGGGGGTCTCCCGGCTGCAGGGCAGAATCCCAAAGCTTTCCAGTCAAGCCTGACGTGACCATCGCCAACCCAGAGGGAAGAGTGGAGCTGCGCTTTGCCCTCCCCACCCCCTCGGTTCTCAAGGCTGGAAATCTCATAAGGATGCCAACGGCCGCCTCTTCCTCTCGTGGAGTGCCAACCTTTCTGTTAGTTTGTTGCGCTGCCTTAACCTTTGTGCTTCTGTATAAAGATCGGTTAAGTATTCTGCATCGAAATGTTTGATGTCCAAAGAAGGGAGCACACTGAGACGGCCCTTCAGGGGGCGCTGGGCCCAGGCCTCCACCTGCCCGCACACACCTGGCTCCTTCCCCTTGAGCGCCCTGGGTTTCCGAGGCTGTGAGAGCGAGGAGGTGACCTGCTTCCGTAAAAGGTGACAGCCTCAGTGGCCTCCAGGGTCACGGTGATACAGAATGGACAGGCAGCGTCCACGGGCTGGGTTCGTCTTCACGGGAGGCTTGTCTTCCTCCAGTGTGTGTGGGGGGTGAGGGGTGGGGGTGGCGGGGAGGAGACTAGCAGGTAGAACGAAACCGCTAGCCTTTGGGTTTGCAGACAAGTGCTTAACAGCGGCACCACCAGGTGTTCTCCCACAGGGGGGAGGGGCGCGTGGTGTGGTTGCTCTGAATTGACTCTGTCCTTGAAACACGGAGGCCATGGGACATACTCTCGATGTGAACTATGTTTCTCCGCGTGCGAGTCGCTATGGCAATCAGTGTCCCCCGTTCATGCCCTTCCATCAAGATCTAACACCCTCGGTCCCCTCTTACATGCTGGTTTTTGCCATATGGAAGGTCTATTGAATCAGCAAGGGATACTGGCGCTCTAACGCAAGGTCAGCAGTTCAGAACCACCAGCTGCTTTTCCGGAGAAAGACGAGGCTTTCTACTCCCGTCAGGAGTTAGAGTCTCGGAAACCCACAGCGGGTGGTTCTGAATAGGAACTGACTCGATGGCAGAAAGTCTGCTTTGCTTTGGTTTGTTTTCGTTTTTATTTTTAATTTTGTGAAGTCATTTTATTGGGGGCTCTTAGAGCTCTTATCACATCCATCCATCTATCCATTGTGTCAGCACATTTGTACATATGCTGCCATCATTTTAAAAATATTTTCTTTCTACTTGAGCCCTCATGAACCCTTGATAATTTATAAATCATTTTTAAAACATTTTTTTGCCCCACTCTGTTCTTGCCCTGTGTCTCAGGCGTGTCTCTTACTGGCAGCGTATTGAAGTATGTGGCTCCCCAACACACCCGCTGCTCCCTGCCGGGTCCTGGCTGGTTGCTTTAGCTACTTGTTTGTTCGTGCGATAGGGATGAATGTGCTGCTGCCAGGTGGGGACGACCATCCCAAGCCAGGGACATCGGGCACGGAGCCTCCTCTCATGGCCCTCTCCCCGCCTGCAGGTGATCACTCGCGATGGCTGAAGCTCACCAAGCGGTGGCCTTCCAGTTCACCGTCACCCCTGATGGCATCGACCTCCGGCTGAGCCACGAGGCCCTGAAGCAGATATACCTCTCGGGGCTGCACTCATGGAAGAAGAAGTTCATCCGATTCAAGGTGTGCACCTCTCTGTTCCAGTCCGTGTGGTGGATAGTCAGAGGCCTTGGGGTGTTGGGGTGTGTGTGTGTGAGATTGCCCAGCTGCTCCCTGGGAAGTTGGGGGGTTCAAGTCCACTTGGAGGCCCCTCAGAGCCCTTCAAAGCCCCATGGAGCTGACAGCTCTGCTCCGAGACACCCAGGGCCGCCGTGATGGCTGGGCGGCCATGGTCCTACTTTTTCAAAAATATTTTTATTGGCGTGTACTTCACATGTCATTTATAATCGACATGGTTGCTGGGAGAGTTGAGCAGTCATCACCACGGCCAGTTTCAGTATTCTTCTCTCTCATACTCAGTGTTGCTAGCTCCCTGTTTCTCCCCGACCCGCCCTGCCATGCCCCTCAAGAAAACTCACAAAACTCCCAGCCATCAAGTCAGTGCTGACTCAGCAACCCTGCAGGACAGAGTGGAACTGCCCCCGTGGGCTTCCGAGACCATCACTATTTATGGGAACAGACAGCCTCCTCTTTCTCCTGAGGAGCAGCTGGTGGTTTCAAACTGCTGACCTTGGGGTTAGCAGCCCCACACAATAACCCACTATGCCACCAGCCTTCCTGGTGCCAGGCCGCTGGGTAATTAATTACTGATCCAGTGACTGTCTCCGTACGTTTGCCTTTTAAGTCATAATAATAATAGTAATTTCAGCATCTGAGAATGGTCTTCTGGATGCTTGCCGGCTAAGTATTTCAGAGTTCTACCTACAACAAGCCCCTCATTTCTATAAGGGGTGTGAGACAGTCCATGGGAAAACGGAGTTGTAAGATCATGGGATGTCCCACGTCCCTGGGAAGCCCCCTCCGGTTTCCGTGGTACCCAAGGTATGTGAGGCACTTTCAGGTGTGTTGGCTCCATGAACTGTGGAAGTACTCCTGGAGGGGAGTGGGGAGGGAGTGGGCCAGGTGTCCGAGGGTAAGTCGAAGGCAGGGAAGAGACCCAGCGCCCCTCACATCTTGTCCAGAAGAGGACTTCCCCTTGCAGCTTCAGCCCATGAAAACTCAGATACGATTGAAGGCCATCGCAGTCCAGCCCCGCTTAGAGCACAGACCCC